ACAGCTTGGTTGATGCCTGCCAATTTTCCATTACTAATGTGGTCCCTATGAACATGACTGCAACCCACTTTGGGAGCATGTGTGCTCAGTACCACTCCAGATTCCCGATGTTTCAGAGGATGTGAGCTCAGAGCACAGCCTGTGCATGAGACCTTTAGCCTGAAGTCATCCTGAGGAATCTTGGAGTTGTTCTGGTCTTCCCATCCACCCCAAGAAGACAGGCTTCTGCTTTTAGGCCCTCCATGCCCCAGATCCTGTATGGAAGCCTGAAATGTGTTCTTCCATCACTTAACCCCTTTCAAGCTGCTGTGACCCTTCCACATCTCACCCAGACACCCTGGGGGCTCCCGTGAGGTGAGCGGTCCTCCAGCCACACCGCCCGGGCAGTGGTCCCTCAATCTTTCCTGCCCCTTTCCTTTGAAAGGGGTTTAAAGAAAGCACCATCCTGTTGTCTGACCACCTTCCTCTGGTCTGGGAAGAGATCCCCCACCGATCTGGCAGCACTGCTTCCCCTCGGGTGGCCCGAAGCTTAGCCTCCATAATCTCCATGATCAGGGCTTCAGTCCTTTCCAGACCCCAGCCTTCTCCTGGCAACACTGACATTCAAGTGGATGGTCCCTTTGGGCTGTCCCTCTAACATCCTTGTCTCTCTGTTGCAGTAGACTTGCCTAGGGGGTGGCTGATCCTACAGCGGGACACATCAGCTCGCGGTGGGTGGGCAGGCAGCTGTGTCACTAATGCCCCTGCTGCCCTTCCTGTGGTTGTCTGTGCTCAGCCCTCTCTGGCTCCTGGTCCTCTCTGAGGCTGCCCTGGGCACCTCTGGTCCCCCCAGCACTGTCTACTCTGCTGGGCCCTGGTGACCCCGCCATCTGCTGCTGTTGTAACCCTTTTCTCCGTCTGTCAATGCGCTCCAGGCAGGTTGAGGTGCCTGCTAGCACCCCGAAGCACACATTTCCTGCTCAGCAATACCTTCCCTTCCAGAACTTATGGCCTGCCCTCCATGACACCTTCCTTGCTCCCCTCACCCATTCCTCTCTCTCCTGAAAGCCCTTGCTCCTTTCTTACCTTCCAGCCACAAATGCTGCCCTCAAAAGCCCAGGCTGACGTTATCAGAGGGCAACCCGATGTCCCTGCTGCAGAGCCTGTCCGCGTCCTGCTGCTCTGTCCTTGGCTGCACTGTCTCTACGCCCGTCCTTGGCCCGGAAAGTCTGGCTCGGCAGGCTGGTCCGCTGCCCCCTGGGCACCATGGGCCTCTTTCTCCTTTTCCCCTCCTAAATCAGAACTTGGGATGCTCTGTGTTTCATTAATTCATTTGGGTTGCTTCAAGCTAAAGGCTTTTTCATACAGCAGACAAATGTAAATTTATGCATTTATGCAAAATTGATAGGACAAATGCCTTTCGATTTTCTGAGAAAAGTTGAATCACCCATGAATTCCTCCCTCCGTCAAAATTCCTTTGTAGTTTCTGGCATTTTCGGTTCATGGCTCCCCGAGTGCCCGCTGCACCCAGCTGCCGTGTCTGTGTGTCGCTGCAAGCTATTTGCCAGTGCTGAGCACCTCTCATCTTTTCTCTCTTCTTGCTATATAAGTGAATTGGAACACAGAAATGAAGGCTAAAACTATTAGAAAATTGTCAGTTTCCCCTGGGTTTTAATTTACATTTCTCTGACCTTTGGCTTACTTTCATTACTGCTTCTCAAACTGTCATTGCTTTTTAAATTTTATTTATTTAGTTATTGATTTGGTGGTTAGGGATTGGACCCAGGGGGCCTCCTGCATGCCCAGGATAAACTCTACCACTGAGCTACAACCTAGTCAACCTACATCAGTGCTTTTTAACAATGCTAACATGTTGTATGTAGATTGAAAGTTGCTGACAACCTGGTGACCTGGCACAAGCTGCCACTTAGACCCCAGGAATAAATGAGGAACCGCTTTCCACGGGGTGAGCTCAACCTCTGATCTGTTCTCTGTGATCTGCTTCTCCACTCATGACAGATAATGTGACTTCCTGATGTCCAGACAACTCTCTTTGATTGTCCTTCTAGCTCTCCCCTTTCTGAGCACGAGGGACGCCATGGGTACTTTTCCCATTCTCGGGGTTTTTCCCAGAACCTGATCTCCCTCTCGATTGTTCCTGCCTTGCTTGGTTCTCTGGTGGTCTCCATCACATGCTCTTTGAAACCTTGCTTCTCTGGACTGTCTCACCTTGGCCTGGCCTGGCACAGGTTGCCCTGGGCTTCATGTACTCTTCTTCCTGGCTGCCAGGCAATCATCAACGCTCATCTCTGTTTCTGCACCCTCTGCTGCCCAAGTCTGGGGCCCTGGCTCTTTCCTGGACTCAACCTGGTGAAGAGACAACTTTTGACTTCGCTGTTCTGCTTAATCTGGGACTCACACACCAGTCTGGTTTCTTCGAAGGCCTCTGTGACTGAACAAGAGATTTCAATTTCTGTGCTGACTTTGTCTCTATAAGGCACGTGCTAACATTATCCTCATTTCTGTAGCTGAGGAAACTGAGGCACAAAGAGGAAGAGTAAACGTGCCTGAGGCTCCAAAGCCAATGAGGGACAGTGCCAGGACTCTAGTCTAGAGCCTGGAGGGCCATCTTCCCCCGTTCCTCCCTCCAGAGCCACAGAAACACTGCTTCACTGCATAGGTGGGGCAGAGGTGGGTGCATATCCGAGGGCTGTAATGTCTGGGGACCTGGAGGCTGCTTCTTCCCAGGGACCAGAAGGAAGTGGATGCTCTTGGCTATACTGTGCAACCCCACCCCCCGCTGAGGGCCAGTTCTGGGAATGGATAGGGAAGAAGGGGAGCCCAGGTGTATCTTCCTTAAGATCACCAAGCAGGGGTATTCCAAGCCATCCTTCAGGAGCCACCTGGTCATGGCCACTGAGTGAAGCTTCTGATTACCATAATCTGAGCCCCTCAGAACCTGTAGCTTTGCTGCTCTCTACCTGCCTTCAGTCTGGATGGTTTTCCAGATATGTCAGGATGTACCAAGACAGGTCTTCTGAGTCTCTTATTATTACTCTTCTTCACTGGCAAGACTTCCCAAGCTGCACAGTCTCTGGGCCTGGGGCCCCCCGCTGTTGCCACTAGAGGTGGCCGGCAAGGCCCCAGCCTCAGCATGGTCCCTGACTCACCAGCGCCCCTGTGCCGGGCCCAGCACTTGCTCATTCAGAAGGGAAAGCACCAGGCCGTTGTCAGGAGCTCAGGTGTCTTGCAAGGTTCCAAGAGGAAACAGAAAACTCTCCTGGTGCGATTTTCCTATTTGATCTTTTGTCTCATGTGTTCCCCTTGGGGATGAACAAGAAACACTTCTCTGAATAATTCATAGGCCCTGAGGTGGAAACATGCTACCTCTTTTTAATAAAAATACTGGGAACATGGTGTTGATTATACCTCTTCCACAATACTTAGCAAACCTCAGAGAGCTGAAAAGTTCCTAACAAACTCTCCTTATAATAGTGATACAAAAATTAAAACTCATGTATATTTTTAATCAGACTTAATGTTTAGATAATATGAAAAATTATTTATGAAGCTGCATTTAGTTACAGTACTGTATGTTCACAAAAGGAAGTTGAAAAAATTAAGTAGCTGTCATTTATAAGGTTTGATTTACTTTTAAAACTGGAAGTAACTGTCTTCGGTTTTCTATTTAATGAGCACCTACCAGGTTCCAGAAACTCTGTGAGGCTTGTTACGTGAATCATGCCTTCAGTTTCACGGAGCCCACCTGGCAAACAACAGCCCCATTCATAGATACACCAGGCTCCCAGAGGCGGGCAGACAAGTGCAAGTTGAAGTCCGCGTCAGACTCCTCCATTGGTACCTCACTCTCGGTGAGTCAGGAAGTCAGCATTTTCTGCTGAAAACTTGTAGTTATGGCTCAAAACCTTCTATGCTTTGCTTATGAGAAATGGTAAGACAACAAAGGTGTTGGCATCCTTTGGGGAACTGATTAGCTACAAAAACCATATCCTCTCGGGGGGAGATGCCTTCCTTTTGCAAGAAAGACACTGAGGTACAGAATACTTATGGGCTCTCCTGAGATTAAGGACTGGGCAAGTGACACCAACAGGACAGATCTCTGTTCTTGGACTCCTTGTCCAGTGCTGGCTCTCCTGTATCACACGCCATTGACTGCCTAAGGCTGCTGATGGGAAGGGCGCCTCAGGCTTATTACCAGCTTTTCTCTCCTGTGGTTCACTGCATCAGCCATGCCCCATCACTAAGCCTAGCACACAGCCGCAGAATCCGAGCCTCACGTGCAGACCCAGGGAAGGCAGGGTGGCTCCTCCCTGGCCCCACAGGCCTCACTCACTCCGAGTTTCAGTTCCTATAGGAATGCGACAGCAGACAGAAGGCTCTGTGCACAGCACTTTGTAGGGTCCGAACAGAACCCCTGGAGTGATTAGTCTGCTCCCCACCGGACTGATGTTCAGACAGCTGGTGCCAACCCCAGAACCTCTCAAAGATGGTCCAGGGTGGTGGTGGGGGAGCCAGCAGGGCAATGGCCGGGCACCCAGAAGAGGGACGCGTGTTTTGGAAGAGCTGTCACACCCACAGCGTGCCACCTCTGGCATCTCACTCAGGCTCCCTGGAGGCCTCCCCACTCCGTGTGAGTGCTATGATCTTTGCACTGAAGCCTCCCTAGTGTGTCAAGTTTCTCAAGGTGGCTGCTGCAAACAGTGTAGACACCATACTGACAATGACAGTGCCCAGGCAGGGCACAGGGTAGCTGGGAATGCTGGCTAGAAGACCAGCCAGAAGAACCCAAATTGTTCCATGGCATCTAACAGGACTCTAGGCAGTATGGCTGTGACAGTGCATGGTCACCTCGCAGGGTGTGATGTGCACAAATTAACATGGGCACGGCCTGCTGGCTTCCTGCAGGGTGGCAGCCTGGCAAGCTAACTGCATCTGGCCTCTGCTGCCATCCTGGGGAACCCTGACCCAGCAGTGAGGGTCCTGGGCCGGCTTGCACTCACCAGGCGCTGCATGCTCTTCACATGGGTAGGGCTGATGGACAGGGCCTCCTCATACCACCGTCGAGCCTCATCCATGTTTCCTCGGAGCTCAGCCACCTGGCCCCGCATGTACAGGACGTTATGGGACATCGGGAAGAGGTTGGCAGCTTCTTGAGTACAGGCTGTGGCTTCCGCAGGCTTCCCGATGCCAATGTAGACCTCAGCTGTGGGGAGAGAGCAGAAAGCAGATGCTGTCTCGGTCCACTGCCCATCAGAGGCCCTGCGAGACGCTGTCCCTCTGCTTGGGGACCTTTGTATTTGCCCATGGGTGTCTGGCAGGGCCCAGAGCCAGCTGGTCCCCCTCCCCTTGTGGACACAGCTGTGGACCAAGCATCCCTCGGGCCCAGTGGCTCCAGTCTCTTGTGCTGTGGCCTCGCAGGGCAGACATATGTCACCGCCAAGTGGAGGGGGCAGGCCTGCCTCCACCTGGGAGGACCTCCGGCTAGGGCGCCTCGGCATCTGGACAGAGGCTGCCCTGGCTCCGGCCTTGGCTCCGACCGCATAGAGAAAGGGAAGCGTGGGACAAGCCGACGAGGGGCACGCAGTGGCTCTGCCCTCTGGCCTGTCCTCCTGATGCCAAAGCAAGACAAGGCCAGCAGGCCCAGGCTTATGTGAGGAAAGGCATAAAATCAAATGGGTGATCCACAGGACCTGGCTCCTGGCCAGGAAAGCGACCACACCCTAGAGATTTGTAACCATTAACATCAACAAAGCCTTTGAAAAACCAAGCTGCCCCTTTTCACAAAAGCAGGGACGTGACCTTTCTGCAGTTTTAGGACTCCCTCGCCGCTAGGCAGAGAATCCCAAACTGCCCTGCAGCTTCAGCTGCCCCCAAAAGCCACCATGCATCCCAAGTGTGCCTCTGCCTCCTGGGTGTCCAGTGAGGACACTGTGCCCTGTCCCCTCCTGCTGCTTCTCCCAGGACTTTTTCTGCTCACAGCACTCGCCCCTGCCCCAAGCTGGCCTTGGGCTCCTAGGACATCTGAGTCCCCTCTCCCTGTTATCTCCATGCCACCATAGCCACGCCTGGCAGGTACCCTGTCCACAGCCTTCCTCAGTGGCCTGTCCTGGGTGGTTCAACCCTGTCTCCTCGTGCTTGCCTCACCCCTGGCCTCCCCCGGCAGTGAGACGTGGCCGGGCTATGGATCTGCACGTGTAGATTAATGCCTTTGATGTAGCACACACAGCAATCAAAAGAGAATTTAGGAAGACGTTTATCATCTTCCTAGAGTTCCTCTCTGCATTGCCTCTGGAGCCCACATGACACTTCCTCAACCTCGGCAAAGCCTCCTAACCATGTCTTCTCTGGCCTCGCAGCAAGCCGGTCCTCCGTGGCAGCTCCCACCCACCTCCAAGGCAAAGCCACAGCTTCTAAGGACTGCATCCCCCACAGGCCTTGCGCACTCATAGGCAGCTTCTGGGAAGGGGACTGAATCATGGGAGCAAACATCTGATTCACTGCTAGGAGTCATGGCCTGGTCAGAAGAGGGGATCTGGGGATGGCACCTGGAAGGGTGCATCTTCCTCCCTAGCTCCTCCCTTCCTGACCACCACGAGAGTAGTTTCCCCCCACCCAGCCCTTCCAGGGGAGGCGCCTGCCCGAGCCAGTTGCCTGCGGACTGTCATGGAGCCAAAGTAGGCCACTCCTGCATTAAATCATGGTTTCATGTATTGTGTCCTAGTGGCAGGAAAGTGACTAAAACACACAGACAGGTGACAGACTGGCCCAGGGACTTGAACAGGACAGTCCCAGCACAGACTCCTGAGCTCTGAGGGGGCGACACTACGTCAGCTGCCTCCTTGCCTTCTCAGGAGACCCAGCTTAAACAGTGTCACATGCGGGTGCTGTGGGGACAAAGGGAGCCATTCTGGCTTTTGGTTTGGGCCAGGCAAAACCCTAAACCTCCCCTCACAACGATGCTTTCAGGGCTGCTGGATGTTCGAGTAATAGGATTCTCTGGAAGCACTCACTGTATGTCCTCAGTGGTTTGGGTTGCCTGTCACTGTGCACTGGCCCCACCTTGCTTCCAGTGTGGGTCTGTACCATTTCAGGCTCCAGGCCTAGAGCTGCCGTGGGCCCCTTAGGCACAGTGAGCCTCTCTTCCTGACACCATGGGGGAAGCAGGCCTGCCCGGGGAGTCTGGACTGAAGGTTTCTAGACTTTTTACAAGGCAAATGAAGACAGTGGAAGCCTTAAGCCAACGGGACAGTGTAATGTGAGTCCTGTTCCATGAGGGGCCCTTGTGACACTGAGGGGGATGCTCAACATCCCACTTATTACCCTGATTTCCTAAGCCCGGGGCCTGGTGCTCCCAAGTCCCATTGGGAGCTGAAGACACAGCAGCCTCTCACAGAAGCTCTAAGAGGAAATGACAACTAAATAGGCATGATGTCTTAGGTTCCAGGGAGGGAGCTTGGTGGGGGGATTTCTGGCACTGAACAAGGAATTTGGGATAGAATCGAGGGAGGATACAGAAAAGATTACTGAGGCTTTCCAGTATTCCTAAGATCAGCCCTACACATAGTCTTCTTAGTTGGAGCGCACAGCTGGTCCCCAGAACACAAAGCCACACAGCAGTCACTGTGAACTTGTGCTGCACGGGACAGCTTCCTGCGCAGGAGCCATGGCTTGGACAATTACCTTAGCATCCCTTAGCACTTAGTAGGTGCTTTAAGAAAAGTCTGTGGGTATGAGAACATTGAACGAGGGCCAAAATAGGGCAATGATCTCCATGGCTCAGGTCAATGAAGAAAGCCAAAGGCCAGAGAAGCCAGGGCATCTGACATTCCCTGTCCTTTCCAGCAGGTGAAATTCAATTAAAATAAATAAATGAAGGGCCTCTTGAGCTTAAGAGCTCATGGGAACCTGGGGTCAACCAGCCACCAGGAAGAGAAGACTTCAGTGCAGGCTGAGCCCCGGCGCAGGGCGGCTCTGCAAGGTCACTCTCTGAAGAGGATACAGGGGCAGGTATCTGTCCTGAAGCTGGCAGCTGACAGCCTCGAGGCAAAGGTAAGGGTTGCTCGAGTCAAGGGCGCTTTCTGTCTTGTTCTGAGAGCTCTACTAAGCTCTAAGCGTCTGCTCTGTGACTGTGTGAAATGTTAAAATAAAATCTCCTCCTGTGCACAGATCTATAGTTCCCTGGAGCAGGTGAATACAATCCTGATGTTTCTGCTTGGTGTTCGGAGTCAAGGCCTTGCCACCTTCCTGCTTCCTCCTACCCTGGGCTCCATGGTCTAGGGTAGACCATGAGCCCCACCCATGAGCCCCACACTGGCTTCCCCAGATGCTCTGGCACCCATCCTGTCCCGTTCTTCCAGCACTGGGCCCACCCGGGACATGGCTTGCCGTCTTCCCTAGCAGATAGATGCCTTGCTCTGGGAGGGCCTGGTGGAACCCACCTCCTGCACTGCCCACCTTCCTATTTTGATGCATGGCTGCCAAAGTGAGCACTGCCCCATGTTCCTAACTGCCTCATGCTCAGATGGCCTTCAGAAGCTGGCCACTGACCCAAGCTCCACATGTGGTTAAAAACAGCTGTCCTTTTTCAAGGTCAAGTGCTATTTCCAAATGCGGGCCTGCTGCTGGAGGCACCCTGAGTCCCATGCAGATCATTTCCCTAGCCACCCATCCATCCATCCATCCATCCATCCATCCATCCATCCATCCGACACCATCTGGGCCTGCTTCCCGTCAGCTGCAAGGTGCCTGCCTTGTGAACAGGGCTGAACAGGCTGTGTACTGTGTGGGGGGCTGGGCTGATGGGGCTGGGGTCCAGCCTGGACTGTGCTGCAGGTGTAGCTTTGGTATGGCCTTGCACACCTGCCTCCAGCCTACACAATCTGCCCCCTTGAAGGCTTTGTCTGTGAGAGGCGCACCCTTCCAGAAACTCACACCAAGGGGCAGTCAGTGCTTGAGGCAGGACCAGGAGCGACGCCTAGTTCAAGTGCTGGCAGATGTTCTGTGTCACCTGCATCTGACAGGAGAGGAAGTGGCATCGAGCACTCCCTAGTGAGGCAGGGTCAGCAGCAGCAGATAGGAAGGTCCCCTGGCTATCCCTACGACCTTTCTAAACCATTTCCTCTACCCAGAGTCCTGCTTTCCTAGACATAGATGGTATGGGGGGCAGGGGTGTGCCCTAGGGTACACACAGGGTGTCTGCATCTCAGAAAGAACCCAAAGCAAACCTCCTGTGCTCCTACAAACAAAAATCAGTGTGAGGGGCAAGGAGGAAAGGGTCCTATGTTCTGATGGGGTTTCCTGTCACTCTTCTGGAGCCTTGGTCCCCTCAACTCTGGAGCTGGTTTGTGCTTCCTCTGGAGAAAGTCAGAAAGTAAGAAGAGGCAGGGACTCTGCTCTCAGGTGTCACCCACTCTGAGCCCTTGGAGCTGAGCCCTGCAGTCCACAAGCAGAACACAGCCCAGGCCCTGTCCTCGCTGAGGGCCGGGCCCAGGGTCTCTTCCAGAGTCTCTGCTGCAGGTCTGCCATTTACCGCGGAATCTGTGACTGGCTGTCAGTGTGTCCAGACTGACACCTTTCTCTGGGGCTTGAAGGAAGAGCAAGACACACTCTGTTTCTTCCAGGCTGTGACACAGATGTTCTGAGTTCTGATCCATTCTCAGTGGGCCCACCTCTTTGGTCGACCTGGGCTCCCTCATTCAGAGAAGCCAGCAGTGTAGACCTTGGGCTCCTTCCTAATGTCAAACCAACACGTCTCTCTGTATCCTTGAGGGTTCCTGCTGTGCCTCCTGCTGTGGTTGCAAGCTACTTCCTACACCTGGGCCCTGGACCCTTCTCCTACTCTTCTCTTGTCTTCTGGGGCTTCATATCTTCATGTGTGCTGTCTCTCTTCTGTATACTGAGTGTTAGCTTTCTGTGGCTGTGATACCTAACACAAACAACCTACAGGAAGAAAGATTTATTTTGACTCATGATTTTAAAATTTAAGTCCAAGGTCAATTGGCTGTGTTGCCTTTGGGTCTGTGGCAAGGGTGAGCGTCTTGGTGGGAATTCATGGTGGAGGTGGCTGCTCATTGATGGTGGCCAGGAAGTGAAAGAGAAAGACAGGACGGGAAAGGGTCCCAACTTCCCCCTTGGAGGGCACACAGCCCGCGATCTAATTTGCTTCCGTTGGGCATTTAGCAGGTGGGTCTTTTGGGGACACTG